TTTATTCTTGTTTAAATATTTTCCATCATCTCGTTAGATTTACATTCAATATTTGTTTCCTCCAGCTGTTAAAGAAGTGCATGCAGATATATTTCATGCCTTGATCATTGAAGAGCCGTGCTGCAACATCCACACATCAGAACTACACTATTTATCTAAGAGCTGAGGCAATGTGTAGGATGAAATAAAGATGAAAGCAATGACACAGTGCTTAAAAGCGATCACACTGGCATGTGGGCAACAAACTGTTTCATTACACATCTGATGAATACAGCAGAGCACATTGATTTCCTCAAGCTCGGGGCTGTGTGTGTGTGTGTGTGTGTGTGTGTGTGTGTGTGTGTGTGTGTGTGTGTGTGTGTGTGTGTGTGTGTGTGTGTGTGTGTGTGTGTGTGTGTGTGTGTGTGTGGTGTGTGTGTGTGTGTGTGTGTGTGTGTGTGTGTGTGTGTGTGTGTGTGTGTGTGTGTGTGTGTGTGTGTGTGTGTGTGTGTGTGTGTGTGTGTGTGTGTGTGTGTGTGTGTGTGTGTGTGTGTGTGTGTGTGTGTGTGAGAAACCACGTCTTCATGACAAAGGGCTTTCTGCCAGGGAATTTCTCAATATTTCTCCTGCTATTGCACCACAACGCTACTAGGCTATACTTTTATTATTCAGTGTGCCTTGCACTGATTGCTTCCCATTTGGCCTACAGTTTTTTTTCAAATCAACTCAAAACAATTTCCTAACTCCTGTTATACAAGGATTGATTGTTTTCACCTATCAAAGGTACTTGAGAAGTCTCCAAAAAACAGCCGCAATCATAGCCATGACTTATTGTTCTCCCTGTGGCTGTGTTTGCTTCAGTTTGTAAGTGTGTGCGCCTTTCTCTGCCTCTCCTTTTAGGCACAATTACAGAAGTGATTTCTCCAACAGTAAACTTGGTTATTGAAGCACCCTTCAAAGAGCATGAACAAATGAAATCTATGTACAAAGTTTAAGGTGCGTTTTAATTGCTTGTTTGGGCCCATGGTTGCATGAAATGAATAGGCTGTCTCTTTTTGTTTCAGAGTTGACAAAGATGCTGGCACTCAGCTATGAAATCAGACACCCAGGTAGTACCTCTGGCCGCCTCTTTGAATCTCTCATAATCTTCTCTTTGTCCTCTCTTTTCCTCTGCTGCGTATAATCTGTTTCACCTACTCTTCACTCCTTCATTTTTCTTTGTTCTGACTTCCTTTGAACCTTTCACATTTATTTCTTCTTTTGGAGCATATTTCTCTTTTTATTTGATCTAAAAGGTCTTACCTGCTTTTGCATCACCTGCCTAACCACTATTCACCTCACCTGTTTTTGCCTCCCATTCTTTTCTCTCCTCTACCTAATAAAGTAACAGCAGTTTGTTTAAGTTATTATTACAATGTTTATGACCTGTATCCTTACGTCCACTTCTTCTCTCCTCTAGTCATCCCTCTGAAGTCTGAGTTGGCCTATAAGATTTTGGAGAGAGGCAGAATGAGGTTCTGGCTGCAGGCAGAAGGCATTTCTTCCAATGTCACCTACAAATTCTTTGCCAACAACAAGGAACTGTCTGGAGCTGATGTAAGATACGCTGTATTTTAAGGCATGAATACACAGTTAGGAGAAATGGATAAAAAGATCTCCGGCTGAAAGAAATATCTGTCTTTCTTTTATATATGCGTCCATGATTCAGTCAGCTGCCTGATGCAATAGGTCACAATAAAAATAAATCCATATTCCGTAAATCAGAAAGTGTTTTATGACTATTTTACGACATCTAATTCCATTCTGCAGCCCAACAAGATGGGCCATGACCTCGCTACAGGTATCATTGAGTTCATGTTGGATCATTTCACTGAGGAAGACGAGGGGACATTTACCTGCCAGATCGCAGATGGAGGCGGAAAAGCACAGAGCTCACTGGTTCTGATTGGAGACGGTAAGAGAGGCCAGGGTTAATTCTCACTTTTTTTTTGTATTTAATTGAAGCTGCTGATGTAGTATTTTCATTCTACATGTGCCGCATTTTCAAATCCTTATTTGTATTCTAATCAGTGGATATGCTGGCACGACTCGTTCAAAATAAACGCAGCCTGTATAAAGTGCATATATGCTGCATGTCTTGCATTAGAGACAACATTATGGAAATGTATTTAGTTAGAAATGTGAGGGTGGGTTTAAGCCGTTACGTTTGAAGGACACTCAGATATTTAAATAAAGACGCTAAAGAAGTCATGATTCTACATTCATACAGGGGACTATTAGCTATCTAATGCACTGACAGCGTCTATAGCAACTGCTGGAGACTCTTTGATCTTCTAATTATCTTCTGCTTATGTGTATCTGTATGTGCACACAGCTTTCAAGGCAGCGCTGGCTGAGGCTGAGTACCAGAGGAGAGAGTACATCAGAGTCAAGGAGGGTAAGAAATACAAAACATCATCCACTCATAAGCCTGTACGAGCTTCTACTCTACTTAGTCTGAGGCCAGCTCACCACTATGTTGCCTTGGAGACCACTAATATAATGAGTGTACAGGAAAGGACTGTACGGCCCTGCATTACTTCAAGTGGGAGCTGAAACCTTAAAAACTCAAAATGGACCCATTTGAAATGAACCCATTTGAAATGTCACTTCATGACGAAATGAGTCTTGTATAAATAGATTTATACAAGTGCTATCATGGGAACAAGCATAGATTCCACTCAGGTATTCCGCATTTAGAATTTTACCACAATAATGCAGATAACAGAGCTCATACAATCAACGTCCACAAGTAATTATTTGTAATCTCATGTCATGGCCTTCCTCTCCTGCCTTCATCCACCACAGGTCCCCACTTCAGTGAGTTCCTGACACTTCATGTTGGAGAGGACTGCTGCGTCTCTCTGGTCTGCAAGGTAAACACAGCCAAACTCAGTAATTATTCAATATTTAAACAAAACATTTCAATCTGACTTGTCTCTAAGAGGATAAGTGCAGGATGTCAAGGTACACCCTGTGTTTTTAAAAATGAAAAATAACCATAATTAAACTCTCAGGATTTTGTTTTGGCTTTGTTAAAACGAAGCACATAATTTAAGACAATTTTGAAATGAAGGTATTGTTTGTATCCCTGGAGACAATTTTAAGCCAACATCGGTTTAATCTGTTTGTTAGTTTGGCCCAAGAATACACATTTGAACAATATAGAAAATTATGTTATGACTATTCACGTCATCCATTTAGCAGTAATAGGCTTTATATGTAGTTAATGTCAGTCATTAGTAAAAGCACAATTTATTTATAAATCATTTCTACAAGTAAAGTTTTCTTAAAAGGGTGGATATTTGAATATGTGAGTTTGGGTGGAAGTCTGCCCATAGTGCAGAGACATGAGATATCTAACCAAATGCCCTTTCCACACACCACTGATGTGTTGCATTTTGTAATGATGGTTAATGGCCCTGTTACACTTCATGCGTTATATATCCCTGGCTGCTGTGAGAAATATGTGGTGCAGAACATCTAAACTGGGGACTGATAAGGGACCTTTAAACGGCAGATTAATGGGGAGACTTAATTGGATAATCTGCTATAAGCTATAAAAGAAAATCTCTCCTCCTTTGTAATGACAACTATGTTTATATAAATATGTGTGATTATGTTTTTTATCGCAGGTTTCTAACTTGAAGAAGGAATCAGCGTTCCTCTGGTACAAAGAAGACACAGAGATCGTCCCGGATGTGAAGCCTGACATGACATCAGGAGTCTGCAAACTCCCAATTAAACTGGTAATTCACCTTTGGTGCTGAAATCTTCTGAATGCTATGAAACAGTATACATGCTAATTCTAATCATTGGCAGTGGCATTTTGTTCACTGATTTGGGTACAAACATGTTGCAATGTTACACAATTTAGTCTTTCTCAAAGGATCCACAATATCAGATTTTAGAATTCAACAAATGTGTGTCGTTTAAATCCCCTGCAATATGTTATGCGCTTCCTCTTTCGTACCTTTTCCAGTTTTCCCTGAAGACAGCGGGAGTTTATAAGGCCACCATCAGTGACGACAGAGGAAAAGATATGAGCCAAATTGACATCTCTGGAAAAGGTAAATATATCTTCCTTTACTTAATCTATCTAGAGTAATTCACTGACTTGGCAGCTAGCTGGTTTTCTAACTGAGATTTTACTCAAAAGAGTGCTTGATGCTCATTAAAAAGTGGGAGACAGGAAGAAAATATGATCCAAATGTATACACTATATCTGTATGTGGTGATCTAATGAATTTTTAAAACCCCAACTACTGTATAAAAATAGTTCTTGCCATATGACAGCTTGAAAACCTCTAGGCTGTATTTATTCCTGAGAAAATCCATCTTAATGTTCCTGTAGAAGTTTGTGGGAATTCAACTTAAGCTGGTACTTTAGTACAAGTGTGTACTCTTTAGGTTTTAATGGCAAACTATACAATACCATCCTTTAATGGCCCTCTGTGTTAGAGGTTAGTAAGTATTTAATTAGACCTTAAGGGAGATATGAGCTCTAATATAATACAGCTCCTCAATTTTTTTTGCCAATTAATGTAAGTTTGAGCTGCCTCCACAGAACAGGAATATTCAGTTATATGGTTTCAAATTAATACAGAGTACTATGGAGACACAAAAACACCTTTCATTTTTTTTTTCCTTACTGAGCTTTTAATGCAGCCACCAGAGGGCAGCAGAGTGGCTCTTTTTCTGACCCGTGTTTTCTACTTCTCTTTTAGTATTTGAAGACGCCATCAACAAGATCAGCCAACTGGCAGGTGGGCATCTGCACACACACAAACATACACACACAGTCATCAAATATCTCACACATATCCATATTAAAACACATAACTAAACACCACCACCCTCTACCCACTGAAGGGATCAAGTGCAAATGATCTCAAAACAATCTCAGCACTTTGATAAGAGATTTGCAGATCTGTCACCACGCTGATATATTTCGGTTTTTAAAACCCCACTGCTACAAACACAAACGTATCAGCATGTAGCAGGAGTTGTGGTGCTGGAAGCATTTGGCCATCATGCCATCATGTGGTGAAATCACTTTAAAATTCCAGTGCGCTGTGTGGAGCAGCATCTTACTCCTATTTTAAGAGACAGTCACTTGACAGCTCTGCAGAAACTGTTACAGCCGTGGTAGCAGAGGTTTCATTACTGTGATAATGGGAAACCATGGTGATGTGACCAGGTGGACGACACACAGGTACACTTGTAATGTGCAGAGAGAAAAGTAATACACGGACATAGTGTAGTGCAAAACTACCTTTTAAAGTTCAAAACATCACCTGATGTTTGAAGCATTTTATTTAATGCACCGTAAAAACAGTTTGCACTCTGCTTCATTGGTACAATTTAGCTCTGCAAGCTGGACAAAGGTGACATTAAAAGGTGAAGTCTTAAAAAACACTTGAAATGGCTGCAGATGGAAGTTTGATTTTATGTGATTAACTCTGAGCAGTAAATTGCATCATGTGGCGACTGCGGAGAGACCAGCTTATCCAGCAGCAGATTGAAAACATGTATTTGATTTTTCTGTCCCTCACAACCTCTGTCCCCTGCAGGAGCCAGTGCCGCAGAGCTGGCGATTCACTGCACAGAAACAGGCATCCAGCTGCAGTGCCACATGAAGTACTACACCACCGAGATGAACATCGCCTGGTGCCATGGGTGAGGCATTTACAACAGCATTAACTCAAATAACATTTAACTAGCAACACATACCACTAGGGAGAGAAGAAGAACAATGGTATTTGTAGTTTTAGAAGTGGTTTTAGGAGAATTTCAGTATTATTTTAAGTCCAGTCTAAAAACACGCTGACCACTAACACATTATTTTGCTTTTCTCCCAAAATGAAATGCCAGGACTGGCAAAAACAATTAGCAACATTATAAAACCTGTGATGCCATTTTATTTTACTAGTGTGTTGCTGCAGTAAAATGGCCCCTTTGTGACAAAAATCCCACCCCTATCCTTTTGTATACAGAGGCAAGGTTAAAAGCACTCTGTTATACACTGAAGATAATAAAATGTGTAGGGGTTGGATTTCTAAGGGAGGGGGAGAGTTGACAGAAATAAAGACGGGAACAAATTACAAAAAGGATAGAGAGAAAGGTGACGGGGTAGTTATTCAATTATATAAATAACAAAAATTATGGAGATTACATTTTTAACCTCTGCCCTTTGTTTTGTGAGTATGTATGAGAGGGCAGGGATAGCAAGAAAAGAAATTGCCTAACATTAGGCAGGCATGTAAACATGATTTTCCATTACCTCTGCAACACGCTTCACAAACAAACACCTAACATCTCCTCTCCTCCTCAGTGAGACTAAACTCGCCCACAGTGACAAGATTGTGATTGGAGGAACCCCTGCTATGGCAACCATGGAGGTATTATTGTCTGCTGCACATGCTGAGCAGTGTATGACTCTTAGGTAGAGTCAGGCAGTGGCAATGTTGCTTCTATGTCCTCAGAGGCCTTTGTAGAGGTTACACCTCACCAATTCTGAGACAAGTTTGATAGATAATCTCACCTTTAAAAGAGGTAGTGGGTGAATAAAAACATCATATATTTTCAAATGTATTAAGTTAAATAAACAGCGTATCCTCTTTCGCTTTTAGTCTGAAAGCTTTAACATTGTAACTACTTAGTTTTTAAAGCTTTTTAAACCATGACCTTAAAGTAGAGTCAAACAGCTGGACCCTGATTAGTTATTAATCATTTGATTCATACACAGCTGATTGAGCCAATGGAGAAAGATAAGGGACTGTACTCCATCGTGATCACCGACCCTGAAACCGCACACAAACGCGTACTGGACCTCAGCGGAGACGGTCAGTACCTCCTCTTAATCTCTCAGTGTCACTCATTCTTTTCTTTTTTTTGGGTAAAACGGTTAAATTGTGGCTGAACAACAACACAGCCAATTGTTTCTATGGAGCTCTTGGCTCTAGTCTGTACTTCAAGACTTTCAAGTGATACTCCAACCAAAGCCGTGTCTTTTGAGTATCAAACACTCCTCCCCGTAGACTGCAGTGCGCGATGTGTAAAACTGAAGCTGTGTTCTGTAACAATTCATCATGGTTACAATTAATTCAGATAAAGTATCCACATATCCAAAGAAACACTATCAACCACTCTTAAAGCCTTAAAGTCAACTTTTTCTAAGTTCTTCCATTATGGTCAGTTATGTATTTGACACATGCCATGCACTATTCCCCATCTGAAGTTCAGAATTTGAGCAAATATATGTTAGTTTACCGCCATTGTTAAAGCCAACCTGTTCTACGCTTATTAGTGAAGAAACAAGCAGCTTCTCAGACTGGGTTTCAGCGTTCCTTTACTCAAAAGGTAGATTTTATGTAAAGTATCACTCTGACATTGTGACAATGAGTTTTGTGTAATGTACATTTTTCTTTGTCTTTTACAGTATATGAGAAAGCCTTCGCTGAGTTCCAGAAACTCAAGTAAGAATACACTCTGAAATATATTCCTTAACGGTGCCTTTCTGTGCATACTTCCATTGGAGTTCTCTGCTTATGATGAATCACTGTTTTCTTCACTTCTGAACTTACGCTGATTCATCACTGCACCTGCTCGCTAAAAGTAATGGTAATGATTGCCCAGAATGCTTTGTGCTCACAAACCGAAAACGATATTACTCACTCTAGTATCTTTATAAACGTAAGTACAAACCTTTTAGCACAAATACATCTGGTGGCCTCACTAAGTGGTTTAGAGTCTATTTAATTATAAAATATAATGACGTATGTATGATGACAGTTTGAACTGCTACTGTCAAATTGTTCTTTAAAAAAACTTTAACTTAGCTATTCGTTTTTCTTAACTTTGCTGTTCGAAAAAAGCATAAATGTTTGCATCTGATGTATTTGTAAACCATACTGAAAGAAAACAGTATTGCTGTTATAATTTGAGCTAAAAATCAATGTTAAAAATAGAAGCAGTCAGGTAGCTGCGATCCTTTCGGGTCCTTTGGCTAATTGGGCCAAAGCAAAATCCCACACACTGAATTTGGCAAATCCATCTAGAAAAATCAATTCAAACTCTAAACACTAAACACAGCATGCAGAGTGGAAATTGTCCAAATCCCTTTTCTAATTAACATTCAAAGAGAGACATTTTAGCACAAGCTTTTACAAACCAATTGAAACAAGTGACACCCTGCTGCCCTTTGATTGAGCGTCAATCTGCCGAGAGGAGAGTGGAGTTCCCCGAGCCATCTGGTCCTGCGGCTGACCTCTGGGCCCTCACCCCGTCGCTACAAAGAAACGTCCCCTCTCCCATGGAAAACATTCTGTTACGTCCCTGGGAAAACCACAGAGTTATGAGGTTTGGCAATACGCCCCAGAATACCATGTGGCGAACCTTCTGACCACTGCTACCGACACAAAAGCGGAAAATGAATAATTTGTAGTCCGTGAACAGAGCCAGGAAGTGGAAAGAGACCATAACCGAACTACGCCGTACAACCAGAACATTTACAGGGTTAGATTATGTGAAAGACAAATAAATACTGAGGATTACATTCCAGGTTAAAGTGTTGTACCCAATACTGTTTATAATCAATGTGCTGCTGGTTCGTAGTATGAGAGAGGGACAGACAAGCCCCTAACTTCATTTTCTGTGTTTCAGGGCCGAGGCCTACGCTGAGAAGAGTGAGTTCATCCTTCTGTTTACAAAATATAATTGTTAAGACATTGTTGACAACACAACATTTATCACCAAAATAATAAGCAATAGGAATGATTGTAAATATTAACAATGTTTGTTACAGACCGTGGTAAGGTGGTGGGAGGACTGCCTGATGTGGTCACCATTATGGAAAAAAAGGTGAGTTTATTAGGGTAAATAAGTGTTGCACAATATCAGGATTTTGTATTTGTTATTACATTGATTAGGTTGTTAAATAACTATAATACTAGCAATAAGTTAACACATTTTGCCTCACAGAAACATCATAAATAAATATAATCTTTGCCGTTTTCGACTTTTTTTCAGAATATTCTGGTTCAACCTAAAAAACTGTAATTTGTTTATCATGCAAGTTTACATCTATATGTGATTTAAGTCTCTTTACGTGTTTGCTAAGAATTCCTCTTTGTTCCTCCTGTAGACCCTGAGTTTGACATGTACAGTGTGTGGGGACCCCAAGCCTCAGGTCTCATGGTTGAAGAATGGAGCCGATGTGATACCTGATGATCAGGTAAATGCTTCAGAGACACAGAAAAGAGCCTCAAACAGAGCCTCCATCTTTTCTTTGTTTCATTCCTGCCACTCGCTACTGCCACTCATTGAAGCCGTTTAATCCCTAAATAAACCCAGCCAGCCTTTTCTTTAATATGATTAATTACTTTATTAACCAGACACATTTGCAATAGTGTTTTTCGATTAACTTGTCTAGTTACTATGGGGTTGCCACGCTCTTCCCCATAACTGGTTCTATTGTGTTACTCCCCTTACTCTGTTTCCATATTTTGCGCACTCTTCAGATAGTTATAGTTAGCATCCTCCTAAAGCGCTGTACTGTCAAAATGGTACAAGGTTGATCATGGTGAGGGGAAACAAAGGGCCTCTGCCTGCTTTTGGGGGGACTTCAGCTCCAGATACAATCCCTCACTGGAGGGGTCTGCATACTTTAGGAGCGGTCAGCATTATCAGCTCACTCCTGGAACCGTAATGGAACAAATCTGCCTCTCATAACTCATTGACCTACTTGCCAACCAGTATAAGTCTACAGCCTATCCCCTGTCGGTGGAGGCTCTTTCAACAGCATCAGCATCCTGCAGCTCCTCGCCACTTTGAAGATTTAAGTTTGAGAAACCGTAGTCCAGGTGGAATATGTGTTGAAGTTTGCCCTCCTCTTTATCCATTCCCTCACCTGCTAATAATCTGTCTAAAACAAGAACTGATGTCTTTGGTGACGTGTTTTCTAAACCTCGAGAGTGCATCCCCGCTACCTCGTTACCACAGAGGAGACTGAAGATATTAACAGAAAAACAAACAGGAATATATACAGATCCACAGAACACTGCACTGAAATTCAGAGCAGGAAGAGGTGTAACTGTAAAACTATACATGTTTAAATATAGGAGTGTTGGATCAGTCTCAAAACGACTATACTTTTATACTTTTTACCTTTCCCAGAAGAGGGACTAACAACTCCGAGATGAGCCTACATTAGTCTAAAAAATGAAGGCAATAATCTAATTACATAACACTTTGATTAGAAAAGGCCATCAATTTGAAAACATCTTTTTAAGGTCTGTATGATTTTTATGCCAATAGAGCTTTTAATTCCTTAAATGTAAAGGCTAGTGTTTCTCTTTATATGAATGTAATTAGTCTGATCCAATCCATAAAAAGGCACTTATGCCGGGACCTTGCAAAATAATGGGCAGGTAGTGTTCGAGAGAGGCAAATTAAATACTCTAGCCCACGCTGCTCACATGGTGCAAATCAGAACAATTCAAGTAATCTACTAATTAATCTCAAGTGTCTGAAGAATGACGACACAAGTGTACTTGAACTCTGATGGCTTATACAAATCAATAGTTTGTTTTTGTGCTATCAACAGGTACGGATGGAATATGTTTTTATTGTTATTTAATACAATCATACAGTATTCTGGTTAAGCTAACAGCAGGTTAGAATAGACAATAGACTGAAATAGATCATTAGTCCTCATGCTCCCCAAGCCCATCTTGCGCTCAGCTATTGCCATAGCAAGGTCGCAATCAAAGCTCATGCTGCTGCCGAGAAAAAATAAATCGATTTTTAAACCAAACTCAAAGGGACGGGCATTTACAATTCAAGCTAAACTCCCCATGCTGGCTTTCTCATTTCTTTAACCTTTGATTTTGTATTTCAGTACGTGGTCTCCATAGACCAGGGCAGGTTTGCCAGTCTGACGATCAACGGTGTTACCATGGAGGATTCTGGCAAATATACCATGATTGTCCAGAACAAATATGGAGGGGAGTCTGTGGATATAGTGGTGAGTGTCTCTGCTGTGTGCCACAAACTAGTAACTGACCATCTGTGGCACAAATCTTGTCTTTTCGTCAGGACTCAACAAGATAGATATTTTTTTGCTCACACTTTTGTTTACAGATTTTGTTGATTTTTTTTATATTACTAGCATTATGCCCTATTTCTCTCTCTCCCTACAGGTCAGTGTGTACCGTCATGGAGAGCAAATCCCAGAGGCCAGACCGACTCTGACCCCTAAAACAATGATCCCTCCTAAACTCCCCATTGAGATCCCGCAGCCCAAGTCAGCCCAGCCCCCTCCAAGCCCCGCCCCCTCCACTCCTAGCCCCGCCCCTCCAAAAGCTGGAAGAGGAGTGAAGAGTCCCACTCCTACCAGGAGGAAGTAGAAAGCATGACAATCATAAATAAGGAAGACAGATACTCACACACCGGAGCGCATGTAAACAACTTCAGTCTGTCTGGACAAATATTCAAAGCTTCAAATGAAATGGAGCAAACACACTTGTGAATTAGAGGGTCCAGAAAACCCTGATAGCTAAAGTAATAATTCATGTTAAAGTTAGCAACAACAAAAAAATGTACTACTGTGATATCCCTGTAAGAACACAAAGCTGAAATGAATAACATTCAAAAAACGAGTTCATATCAGGACTTGACTTGATGAGAGATAACTAAATTGATTGAAATAAACTTTAATGAAATTTGAATAAAGTTGGAATTTAATTTAAATGATTGCTGGAAATGTGTTTTTAAATTGGCGCTGGAATGTAAATGAAGCAGGAAGCCCTGTGTACAAAGAAATCAACCATTTTGATTTGGCTAAAACAAAGAAATCTTCATGCATAACATGATGAGGAAAAGCTTCAAAATGACCTCATCAGTATCCTGCTGAAAATACATTTTTCAATACATCATGCCTGGTTTTTCTATGGTTTGCAACACATTGTGCATTATAAGGCTCTTGGTATCATATCTTATTTACCCTCTCACACTACCTGACCACCACTACCACCGCCCTTTGAAGACTGGGCCAAGCCAAGACCCTGCTTTGTATTCGATCAATGGTTTGGCCGGGTTTCACAGTCAGGAAACACCTTTTTTCATGTATTTAAACTCTTCGCCCATAATACTTCTTGCAGGATGTTGATGCAAAAAACAACACTGGCTTTGTACCACAGCTCCAAGTCACTGCTACATCCAACAAGATGAATGTTGACACTATTTAGTTCATACCCTCCTTAAGACATAATGATAACTTTCCCTTGTTCACACAGGTACAGAGAGAAATAAGTCAGGGTGTACAAAGCCATCATTATGCTCCGACCTCTCTCAACTGATGACTGCAAATATATAACAATGTCCTCCATAGCATCGCCATGGTGAGATATTGAGCAAGCTGAAGATCAGCTGGCAGTGAATCACTACTTAGTGAACCAGAGCCGAGGAGCAGCACTTGTCACACCGACACTGAAGACTGTCATAGCATCATTTCTGTTTCAAACTGACTTAACAAACTTTCTTTCTTTTAGAAAACCTACTTGTATTCTTCCCTACAGATAAATATCAATGATGTACAATCCTCATGGTCATCAGCCAACAGCCATGCGATAATTATTCAGTCAGGTTTAAAGTGCAGGAAGTAGTGATGGCAGAGCTGATGAAAAGATGGCTGATGAGATTTGTGGTTCATTAAAGCTGATGAGAGGAGAGGAGCAGACGGAGAGGAAGGGGGGGGGGGGGGGGGGAACTTCATTGTTTTGGTGTTTGCTGTTGCTAATAAAAGAAAGAGATTACACTTTGCAGAGCTTGTTTATTCATTCTGTCAGAGAGAAGAGGGATGGTGAGAGAACGAGAGTAATGGAGAGCTGCTGGTGTGTGTGACTTCTGCTGCTGATGTGTCTGCTCTGGCGCCATGATGATACAAGTCTTGTCGAGCTTGTTAACACGTTCAGAATCAGCTGATTACTGAATGAAACACAGACGTGTACTGTAGTTGAATGTAGGTTTGGTTTACCCTTGCTGCTGTTGTATGTGTTTTTGCACATGGAGACGCATCTAATCAAGTCATACATTGTGTGTGAAAGTGTTAAAGAAAGGAAGAAATAGAGAAGAAGAAGACGAAGCGTGTGAGAGATGGAGATAATTCAGTGTTGCGTGGCAATAAAGGACTTCTGAAGTGCGACTGGAGGACAAGACGTGTGTGTGTGTTAGAGTGAGCGGGAGGAGGGGAGGGGAGAGATCTGAATCATTTTTTGATGTTTCGCTGATCATCTGCTCTGAGATCATTTTCCTGACTTTTTAATTAATTTTCACATTTTTAATCAACATAATTACTGAGGAATCCAAACGTTACCATGACAACTAACTTTTATTTGAATACATTTTGAAAAAAAGGGCTCCTGTGAAATGCTCAGAAGGCCTGTTGACACTCTCAGACACACTAACAGATGCATAGAGACACATCAACCACACACACACACACACACACACACACACATATAGACGGCTGCTATCTAAATGGAATAGCTAGCCAGTACTGATAGCATGAAATTGTGTTTCCAAATATAACACCGTGTCATTGGAGTGTGTGGGTGTGTGGAGAAACAAGACTATATAGAATATATGCTCTTCTATAGTCATCCACATGGGGGCAGTATGGTAGCATGCCTATACACTCACACAGTTTCTCACTTTTGAAACACACACAAACACTCACACAAACTCAACACACACACACACACACACACACACACACACACACACACACACACACACACACACAGACCTCTCCTAATTAAAGCATCGCTGTTCAAACAATGAGATAAAGTAGGAGCAGAGACATTTTGTGGGTATGCTCCGACACACTCACTTTTTAATATATTGCTATGATCCACACATGTACATACACACACACACACACACACATATTATACTCCTAATTTGCATTGTGGCGCTAAATGCTGACAATTACACTGATGGTGGTATTGATTACTGCTGGTTCTTCTGGCTAGAAGAGAGGGGAGGGGACATGTGCCTAAGAGAGGAGGGATATGAGCAACAAGGGAAGGAGGTAAGAGAGGAAAGGACAGAGTGAATGAGGGGAAGCAAGCAGGATATTATTATGCAAGATTGTCTCGCTGTTGCACCACAGATGATCATTTCTTTAGTTTACAGTGAGTGGGACAGCTGTAGGAGAAAGGTAAGGCAGGTGAAGGTATTGCAGAGAGGGAGGGGAAGAAAGTTGAGTGAAGAGAGAGCAGCACAGGGGAGGAAAAGGTTTGAGAGGCAAAAGGGGAGTGAGGAGGGATGGAAGCAAGCAAGAAAGAGAGAAGCAAAAAGTTGGGTTGCTTGAACATTGGGACCCTAAAATTGATGCTAATTTTCAAATTGATTTGCATCAATTAATCATTTTTGTCTCATGCGCTCACTACAGCATGACAGCTGGATGTCACACACCTTATTCAAACAAGAAAACCTGTTTGTTTCTGATCCATCAACTATGTCAACCTCCATCTCACAGGAGCTCTCACACCAATCAGAAAATGGACATAATCAAACAGCTGCAAGGTGTGTGTTCATTGATCGGAGCGGTATAGATTGAATTTGTCAGCCATGCACATTACCACATACTCTTTGCTGACCATTGGACTAGTCTAAACTCTGGTTGGGATTTTCCCTCAGATTGGTGGCAAATCAAGACTACAGTAAATGAGCCAAATAATCCTCTCCTACCACTGGGATGTTTTCCTGTGCAATACAAATGAAGTGAGACAAATATGTTAACAGCATAGGGGAGAATCAAGAGAGGAGAAAGCTATACAAAGAGGCTGGGCTGCTTTTACATGTACTGTGGCTCCATCTGTAAGAATGTGCTAGCTGGGTTAATAAAAGATTACATCCATGCTGTGATTATTAATCCTGTTCTTGGACATGTTATCTTGATATATTAGTGATAAACCACCTGTGTGGGTTTTATCCCCAACACATGCTGAACATACATTCTGTAAACTTAAAGGCTGCATCAAGTGGAAAATGAGTCATTTAAAAAAAGAGGCAAGCTTATTGTTCACATCTGGTATATTTCTAGTGATATTAAGTGATGCATTGCAGGGAGACATGCTTCTCCCTCTCCAGGGAAGTCAGGTAGCTCCCCTGGAGCTCGTAGTGACTCACAGTCTGGCTGTTGGAGGCTTCAGCAGGGCGGATGCTTGTCAACACGGGGACTTAAACCCTGGATCTCTGGTCCAGGCACACTGCACCTAGTTGCCATTCCACTCGGCAGCCCTAATGCCACTCTGCTGGGACACTGTGAGCCCTTACATGCATCAAATCCGGAGGCATTGTTTGTGACAGCACTGTGTAATCACCTTCTGGACTGAAAAAAAAACGAAACAAAAAATAATCTGCTTTTCTCTCAGGGCCATGGTGGCAGGGGTCATACAGTGCATGGCTAAAAAAATACACAAAGAGATGTGCAAGCTATCGTCTTCACATCACCTCACAGACACGAGGTTAGGATGACCAAAGTCTTAAATTGCTCACATTTATGAATGTGACTCATCATCCGTCTAAGCCTGTGTCACACTGCCCTCTGTGGAGCCAGGGGAGAGACTGAGCGGAGGAAATGACTAACGAAACTTAGAAATGGTAGTTTGAATAAAATCTGATCAGAATCTGTGAGCAAAGGAGACAATGACAATGATGTTTGATTTTCAAACTTCAGTTGCTGATTCCGGGAAAGCTGAATTCTTTAAGGTGGGAGACTCATCTGACAGCACTGTTATTCTCACCCAACATAAATACAGTCAGTATTACCAGCCTGTCTCCATGTCTGTGTCCCTATAACCCAGATCTCTCTGCTTTCTATTCATTTCTACTCTCCTTTCTTCCTCAATTTCTTCTCTTTATCAGTCTCTCCTCCCTCTCTATTTTTTCACTCCTTCTCCAATCACAGTGAAATTGCAAGGAGGCTGGTTGGGGACTTTTCTGACAGACAAATTTGGCTCCGATCAGAATCACTAGCGAGCATTCCTGCATTCCTTTCCCAATTTAAATGATTTTGCAGCTTCACAGGCGCACCCACCCAGACAGACAGACATTCTCACATCGACACTCTGCACGTCTCCTGCCCTCTCTTTATCTTGTGCACGAGCTCATTCTTTCATTTCTCTCTTTCTGTTTGTCACACACAAAACATAGACATATAAAACACAATTCAGAGCTAAAAGTGGTGGAACTGGCGAGGTGCCCACAAGCAGGAGCCCAAACAGTTGCTTCACTGACTTTGGTTGGCTGAGAAAACAGATGAGATGAAAGAAGAGAGGCTGCAGCTGGAAGAAGACACAGAGATAGGAAGGCAGATAGAAGGGGAGACAGTTTTTCTAAAGTCTATCATTAAAACATGAACAACATGTTTACCCTTTTGCTCGTCATCTGTGTTGCAGAATGCATTATTATGCACAGCGTCAGTAATACTGTGCCTGGTTTCCTCACAAACAGCATGCAGAGGAATTTTGAGCTCCTTAGAAACAGTGCCGTCCCCGATGTGTGTCAACATGTCGAAGTCACACAGACAAAAGAAGCTGTCGAGTCTGCTGGCAATTTTCATTTTTGATTTGATGTGTGGCTGGCCAGCTGTCTCCCTGAGATTATTATTATGTGCAGGCAGCACACCGGGTTGGCCTCACCTGTCTGCTCCATGCATCACATGCTCTTCCTGACTTTTAGCATTG